TTTGGCCCGTTTTCTGCGCCTGTGCATTTCCCCAGAAATGTTTTGTCTTTTTACATGGCCTACCACTGAGTTTGTTGTGTTTCCCGGGTTGTTTCCACTTTTTTAAATCCCACTAACAGTTAAACCGTGTAAAAATTTAAATTAAAAGGGAAAAATTTCACAGATGGATTTTTTTTGCACGGGTTTGGCAACCTATCACGGGTTACCTGCTTAAATTTCCCACGGGGCTCCTGAGAGCGACTCTTTCTTTCCCCAAATTTTTTGTAAAAGGCAGTCTGCGTCCCCTAGGTGTTTGAGGGGGAACCCCACCTGGTTTAAAGGGGGTTTGATTGGAACACCTGAACCCAAATTGACTTTGAGGGGTTTAAATTTAATTTTTTGGGGCAATATAGTGTTTTTTAAAAAATTTTTTTTCCCATTAAACTGACCACTTTCAAAATTTGGGAAAGGGCAAAATGACTACATGTAGACCATGTTTTTAAACAATTTTTAAGTCACAGTTACCACAACCCTATAGCCCCAATTTGTTAAAAAATTTTTAAAGAAAAAAAATTTAAAAATGAATGGGCTTGAAAAAAAGTTTTTTTTCCCCCTTTGGGAATCTTCCACTTTTTGGGTTATGTTAAAAAACCAAAAACGGAATGTATTTTTTTTGGTTTTCTTATGAAAAAGGGATAGCCCAACACAAATTTGGTTTCCCAAAATTTGTGAAGGGGAAGGAAAATGATAAGGGTTTTTCAAAAGTTTTTTACAAATAAATATCAAAAAGGGGTGGTTTTATTTTTTATTCACCCCTTTTTTTACTCTGTTTCCCAAAAAACAAAAATCTAGTGACCAATTGCCTTCAAAGTCCCCTAATTAGAAAACAAGGGTTTTTAAACTATTCTCAGTATAAATACAGCTGTTCTGTAAACCCCCTCAAGGTTTTTTTAGGGGACCATTAGGAACAAACACATCATGAAGGCCAAGGAACACACCAGACGGTTAGGGAAAAAAAGTTGTAAAGAATTTTTTAAAAGCGGGGAAAGGTTAAAAAAAAATTTTCCCAACCCTTTTTGAACACCCTACAGAGCACTGTTCAACCCAACATCCAAAAACGGAAAGAGAAATGGAAACAACGGGCAAACTTTTCCAAGACATGGCCGTTCCCACCATAAAACTGACCAGCCCCGAGCAAGGAGAGCATTAATCAGAGAAAGCAAGCCAAGAGGCCCATGGAAACTCTAGAGGAGCTGCAGAGAATCCACACAGCTCAGTGTGAGGAGAATCTGTCCACAAGGACAACTATAGTCGTGGCACATCCACAAATCTGGCCCCTTTTTATTGGAAGAGGTGGCAAGAAAAAGCCATTGCTGATAAAATAAAGCCATAGAAGTGCCGTCTGCAGTTTGTGAGAAGCCATGTGGGGGACACACAAACATGTGAAGAGGGTGCTCTTCCGTCAGATGATAACCCAAAATTTTTATTTTCATCTAAAAGCAAAAAAAACGATATGTTGTGGCCGGAAAACTAACACTGCACATCACCCTGAACACACGAATCACCCACCGTAGGCAGCATCATGTTTGTAGGGATCCCTTTTTTTTCCAGCAGAGACCAGGGAACCTGGGGTCATAAGAGTTTGAAAGTGGAAGAATGGATGGAAACCAGCCCAAAAGACTTGGTGGACTGGGGCGAAGGTATTCACCTTCATAGCAGGATAACAACCCTAAACATACAGCAAGAGCTACATGGACATGATTAAGATCAAAAAGGCTATAGTTCATGTGATTAGAATGGCCTAGTTTCAAAGTACAAGATCCTAACATAAATCCAATTGAGAGACTCTGTCGCAAGAGACTTGAAAAATTGCTGTTCACTAGACGCTCTCTCATCCAATCTGCCAAACCTGAGCTATTTTGCAAAGAAGAATAGGGCAAAAGTGTTCACTCTCTACGATTGTGCAATAGCTGATAGAGACATCCCCCAAGAAGACTTGCAGCTGTAATTGCAGAGAAAGCCAATTGGTTTCTACATCAAAGTGTTAACTCAGGGAGGCTGAATACAAATGCATGCCACACTATTCAGATATTTATATGTACGCAAAATGTTGAAAAAAACCATTTTTCATTTTTTCCTACTTCACAATTATGTGCCACTTTGTGTTGGTCAATCACAGGTAAAATTCACCAGTAAAATAAATTTTACGTGTTTGGTTGCAAAGTGACAAAATGTGGAAAATTTCAAGGGGGTATGAATACTTTTAAGGGCACTTGAACAAATTCAAATCAAACTCATTATGCAACTGATATTGAATCGGTAAAGATGCAAAATATTTTGCTAAGTACAGCACATTAGGGCACATTAAAACAGTTTAGGCCAGACAACACAACATACAATATCCATGATCTCACACATTTATTACAAAACAAACATACTCTCACAGTTAGTTACTTTAAACTCTAGAAAAAAATACTAGCTCAATTCTCTAATAAAGGTTGCGCTTTGTCCTCTTCTCTGGTTAAATCTTATAGAGGAGGAGTTTTCATTCTCTGACTGTCCTATGAGGCTGCATGATCCCCTCTGACCCTCTGTCGCTGACAGTGCTGATTGGCCCTGTGCTGATAACATGCACCCCCCTCCCCCCAAAAAAAAATATCTCTAGCAATACCAACACTCAAAACTGTGCAGGACTTGCGCACTGTTGCTCTGTAACTATGACAGATGGATTGGAGACAGTAGAAGAAAGGGGAGGATCAGAGAAGTGTCAGGATCAAACAGACCTTTTTTTTTTTTTTTTCCCACCCACACAATGCGGAGGGGATAACCCCTTAGGTTCCACAGTGAGTAATAAACAAGCATTGCTTTACTGCATATAACAGACTGAGTTTTCTTACTGTTGTGGGTTTAGTAATCACTTTATATAAATGACTTTCACTGATTGGATTACAAATGGAGTATAGATACTGGATTTTTTTTTATACTAAATAATAGCGGCGATCAGCAACTTATGGCAGCAATCAGCGACTTATGGCCGGACTGCAGGACTGCGGCGAACATTCTGACAACTGGGGGGGAACCTGACTTGGGGTTACTGACATCCCCAGATGACACCAATACAGCGATCAGTACAAAAAAAAGGCACTGACACTGTACTAATGGCACTGGGGAGGAAGGGGTTAACATTAAAAGACAATCAAAGGGTTTAACTGTGTGAGGGGGAGTGTTTCATTAGGGGGCGGGGGTGTGTGTGCAGTCACTGTTACAAACACTGTCCCCAGAAAAAAAGCTCAGCTCTGCTCTCTGGAACAGTGTGCTGGAAAAAGACAGGGAGCAGAGCCTGCAGTTGAAAACAATGCACCTGTACTCCCTGTCAGAGGTTTAGCAGCAATCTCTGGGACCCAGTGGGTAATCACCGGCTGGTGCCCAGTGATTGAAACCCCGTGGCCACGATCGGTGCCCGCTGGCTCAAGGTTTGGGCAAGCGCCTTGCTGCGCGAGCCCCCTACCATAAATAAACAGGATGACGCGATTATAAATGTGAGTCCGTGCATACAGGGGGACTGCTCTTTGTCGCATATGTAAATGTACTGTGGGTCTAGTGGTTAAATTATGGTGGAAGAGGATTGTGTACAAAAACAAAAACATATTTTAAGACAGTTGATCATAATGGATACATAGCCCCTGAGTAGTTGTCATAATGCTTCCTGAGCTTTATGAATGTCCTAAGAGACAATTTGTTAGATTTGAGAAGAAATTGCACCTAAAAAAGGAGGGATTATCAAGATCAAGCTAAGATGATTGGCCAGAGGTTTATTGAGAAAAAAGTTATGATGAGTTCCCTTTATACGAGAGAAAATGTATGAGAATAGAGCAGTTCTGTAGAGCAGTTTCTGTTTAAAGAAGATCTGATAAGGACCAGGGGTGGTGACTGACAACTCCTGGGACCTATCCGGGCAATAGTGGATCATGGGGCCCCTGTGTCCTTGCCCAAAAGCTCAAAAAAGCCCTATGAAAAAAGGTACCAGGGGCAATCTCAATGGGGCCCCTGTACTGACCCGTGCCCTCGGGAAGTGCCCCGAGTTTTCCAAATGGTCAGTCCGCCCCTGTTAAGGACTATCTCTCGGAAGAATTGATACAAAGAAATGACTGCGCCTATCATTTTGGATTATGGTATGCAATATAGAAAGGTAGAGAAGTAGATTTTTAAAGAAGTATTGGTCGATACTTTTAGCTGACAAACCTTTATCCAAGTTTTTAACCATGGTGAATGTGGTGAATCCCCCAAAGAAATGTGATTTTTCTTTTTTTTTTTTTACTGGAAAAAGGTTTTTTTTCCATGCAATAAGTAGTTTTTTTGGATGTACAAGAAACTAAGGGGCTTAATCATAAGAAACGAGCCAGTTTTTCCTAGCAACGGAGTTACTGGGGAAACAATATAGTAGATCAGTGATTTCATTATGTGCAAAACTGAAGGGGTCAGTGTATGCATATTAGATTGTAGTTGTGGTATTCGAATATATTGGATGAACAAAAAGGCCCCCCCCCAGTGTGGAAGAGAATCATCAGAACATGTTCAGAATATTTTGTAAAGGGTTTAAAAATAATAGTATATCGAGACATTTTACCTGAGTTCATACTAAGGATCCCATCGGGTTTTTAAAATTTTAAAAATTTTTGGGGAATTGAGAAGTACCATCTGCATTGGAGAGGCAGTAAACAAAATTCGGTCCTTGAGTCAGTGGGAATCTTTTTGGGTTTGGTATATGAGCTGCAGAGACTTTATATCCAAGTGGGTCATAATGTTATAAATTTGATTTAAATTGTTATTATTAGTGACATTTAAAATTAGTATGGTTTTTAATTAATTTTTTAATTACTGTATATACTCGATGTATAATAGAGCCGACCCGAATATTAAGCCCGAGGTACCTAATTTTACCACAAAAAAACCTGGGGAAAAACCTTATTGACTCGAGTATAAGCCCCATCATTGTATTAACAGTGGGAGGGAATAGTGCCCCATCATTGGTGTCAGTGGGTGGAGGAATAGGTTGCCCCATCATTGGTATCAGTGGGAGGAATGTGCCCCATCATTGGTGGTCAGTGGGAGGAATAGTGCCCCATCATTGGTATCAGTGGGAGAATAGTGGCCCCATCATTGGTATCGAGTGGGAGGAATAGTTGCCCCATCCTTGATTTTTATCAGTGGGAGGAATAGTGCCCCATCATTGGTGTCAGTGGGAGGAATAGTGCCCCCATCATTGGTGTCAGGGGGAGGAATAGTGCCCCATCATTGGTATTCAGTGGGAGGAATAGTGCCCCATCATTGGTGTCCAGGGGGAGGAATATGTGCCCCATCGATTTGGTATCAACTGGGAGGAATAGTGCTCCCATCGTTGGGTGTCAGTGGGAGCAATGAATGCCCCATCATTAGTATCAGTGGGAGGAATAGTGCCCCCATCATTGTTGGTCAGTGGGCGGAATAGTTCCCTCATTGTTGGGTGTCAGTGGGAGGACATGAATTGCCCCATCATTAGTATCAGTGACGACCAATGATGCGGCAACTATTCACACACAGTCCACCAATGAGCACTTTGCTGACACCCGTTTTGCCGTATGGTGCTGCTGCAGCAGCATATGTTGTTGCAGCCAGTCACCTCTGCACGTGCACACCTTACCAGTCTTTTCCCTCACGTTCGATTTTCCGCCGGCTCCCTCGTCTCCGCTCGGGCTCCGCCTTTTCCCCGGGGATTGGCCGCCGGGGTACCTTTCCCGAGCTTTCAGTTCTGGCGGCCAATCCCCCGGTTTAGGAGGGGGAGCCGCAACGGCAGGGGTTTAGGGAGTGGCCGGGAGTGAAAGGAAGGGGCAGCGCTTCCTTTTTGGATCATCTTTGGGGGCCAGGGGGGACCCGCAGCCCCCCTGCCCCCCCCTTGTAAAGCGCCCCCCCTTGACTGTTGAAATCCAGTATAAGCCGTAGGGGGCCGTTTTTTTTACACAAAAAATGTTCTTAAAAACTCGGTTTTTACTCGAGTATATCGGTACTGTATTTTCCGGCGTTTATACTTTTTTTTCTTAAAAATATACCCCAAAAAATTGGGGGTTTTTTTATACGGGCCGGGTATAAACCGGGTGGATTGCGGGAATTTTCCCTTTGGGTTTGCTTCAGCCAAAAACAGTGTACCGTGCTGAGCCAATTTACCCGGGGTGTGATGTGGGTTTTATTAAAGA